CAAGCACACCGCCTAAATGGAGAATAATCTTGGTAGGAACGGTTCATCCCCACCAGCAACATATTTTGAGAACTCAAGAAAAAGGAAGTTGAAACCCAATTCCCTTGCTAAACTCGTGTGCTTATTGACTCAATCAGGTAAGTGCTCTATCTCTTATACTTCTAGTGCCTCAGATTCACCTTGTTCTAGTTCCTAGATTGAGGACCGGGAACTAGGGACCGCATAACATGTAGCCCAACCATTTATTTTTTTTGGTGAAATAAGACGCATAGCCCAACCATATCCATAACATACTTTCCATGCCTGGAAATAGAAAAATTACTTTTTCAGATGGCCAACCTGTGACTATTTCTCGCAATGGACAGCAACTCTAACACCCACTCTTTCTTTAAAGAATGGATTGCAAGTCCCAAAGTTACCATCTAATCTGGTACCACTCACCAATTAGCCAAGGACTTAAACTGCATAGTAATTTTTTCCCCTAAATATTGCATTTTCTGGATCAAGTCACATTAAGGATGATAGGAATCATTAGAGAAAGAAATGGTCTCTACTACCTTGAGGAAATGAGTATGGAAAAACAAAACCAGCTAGCCCTCTCCTGCTCATCAAAAAATTCTTCAACAAAACTAGGATTTCGTTTCACCATTTCTGGCTTGGACATCCACCTTTTGATCTTCTCAAGGACTTGTTTCCTCCATTTTCTAAAACTGTCGATGTTAGCATTTGCATCGTGATACTCTTGAACTTGCCAAACATCACCATGTATCATTTCCACCAAGTAATACAAAGCACGTTGTACTCTTCTCTCCGATGCATAACAATATATTAGGCCCATCTATAATCCCTAACATTTCAGGCTCGATGGTCTATATCTTTTAGTAATGATTGCACTAGAACAACTTGGTTATCTTCAATGAAGGAAAAATTAGAACAACTTGGTTATCTTCAATGCGATTCGAGATTCTATTAAAAGGATTAGGTCTGACAATGCAATGGACTATTTTAATCAAATTCTCTCATCTTCCATGAGTCTTGTGTTGATACAACCCAATAAAATGAGGTTGTTGAAAACACACTTCCCTGATATAAAATGAGTACTATCACTCAGAGCGAAATTTGTCTTAACAACAACGTACCCAACAAGCAGAGTGTCATGTAGAGTATTATTAAACAGAAGCCCTATGACTATGCTTTCTAAATTTCACCCTAACTTCAATGATTCCTGCAAATTACCACCAAAATCTTTGTTTGTCTCATTTGTGCACATTCGTGCTGACAATAGGGGAAGCCTGATTCAAGAGCTTTGATATGTGCTTTTGCAGAATATTCAACCACCAAAGAGGGGCATAAGCATTACCACAGAAATTTTTCACCACCATGGGAAGTCATCTTTCTTGAAATGAGCCCTCCTTTCAAGATTAAACTCCTTGTCTTCAGGGGAGAGAGTTTCTAGGGAAAATAAAGAAGAGTGGCAGTTTCTTCTGACTTATTTCTTCCAAGAACTCGGTCTTCATTAAAACAAAGTTGTTCTCCTTCCAACAACTAAATCTGAAAAGGAAACTACCAACAATGAAAATGAACCTAAATTTACTTCGAAACTATGCAGGAAAGACAGCAACCTGGTTTAAATACCATTATGCCACTTCAGGTCTACAGAAGCGAGGGCCTGTTTTTAATCCATGGAGATCCAAGGACCCCAACCAGGTATTGAATCCATCTCTTTCCCATCTATTGTTGACAATGATTCTGTTTCTCATGATTTTCCTTATACGATTTGCCTATTGTTATTAGAAAATGAACTAGAAAATGTACCAAATATCCAATCCTTCAACTTGCCTTCTTTCATAGATTATATCCCGAATACTAGTAAGTTTCTTGGCCACATTAGATTCTGCTGACATTCCCTAAACTCTTCACGAGACACTAAGGAAAAGAATTAGGTACAAGCCACAAGGGAGGAAATAAATGGACTGGAGAAAATAACACATGGAAAATACTTCAGCTTTTTTCAGTAAAAACCCTAGTAACAGGCATTTCCCATCCCACCTTTTTCTTCATTTTACTGTCTCTGCAACTAGAGTGACATGGCCAGTGTAGTTCCTTTCCATCTCTCTCTATCTCTCTCTTTTCAATTCAACTTACCTCACTACTTTCTGTCTCTATTTCTTTCATTTTGCTTGTTTTCAACCTTTGTCAGCAATATCCACTAACATCATCTTCCTCTCTCTACTCTGGCAATAAATCAGTGTCAATATGATATAACTCTTCCTTCTCACCGAACAGTGTCGTTTCGAAGATGAACATCAAGCATCAGACATATATTTCATACCAAAACCAAGATCTTCTGGTGGCAACACAGAATGCCACCAAAAATGCCAAGAAACAGACAAATATCTTCTAGTTTATTTTTACCTAAAGAAAATCGTGTGCGAACCAAATTTTTCTCTAATTGTTTTTGGATTAATTAATTCTAAAAATGGTTTAATTAATTGATTGTAAGGATTTTACATATAGAATCCCTAGATTCTAAAAATTTATTGCAGAGTCAAACTTGTCTAATTAGATACATTTGTGTGTGTATATACTGATCATGTACTAATAAAAGATATAACAAAGATATTATTCCTTTCCACTTCTTCATTTTCTAACATATTTATAGACATGTAATTTTTTGAAAATTAAACCAAAATTGAAAAATGATAATGAAAATATGGCAGAAAAAGATTAAAAAATGAAATGGATACATATTTTCACAATTTTGCAAATTTTTTTGACAACTATATAATCTGTTTGTGTATAAAAAAATAAGAATCTCAGAATAAAAACTCAAAATAGTTTTCTATAATCAAACAGAGCCATGATATTTGATATCCTACCCCTTAGGTCCATATCCTTTCCCCTTGATACTAATTGTTTATAAAGTTAACACGGTTATCATTAGTTCACTTTTGTGTTTTCCTTACCGGATAACAATGGATAAGTTCAGGAAGAACAAGGAAGTGAAGGCCTACGTTGTGTAAAACCAGGTAAGAATCAAACTAACTCCTAATGATTATTCCAGGTCATTTATTATCTTGTATTTTAGAAAAAGAAAAAGAAAAGGAAAAACAGCAAAGAATTTACCTGGCCCGTGCTGTCGAGATTTCCTTTATAAACCCGACCAAATCCACCTTCTCCTAAGAAAGACTCTGGCCTAAAATTCTTTGTTGCAGCTGCAAGTTCTCGGAAGGTAAATGTTTGAGCAGCTATATTGACACCAAGCCCATCCCTGGGACCTGGTAATTCCCTCTTGGACCCCCCATTGCTTCTTGATCGGAGCCTCTCCCCTCCTACAAAAGTTCCATCAAGTACAGATCCATGATCATCATGTCACTCGCAATCATAACCAATACAAAAAGATATATTCAACTACAAATGGCTAAAAGAAAAATCTCCATCAAGCATTCACTTCTATCATACATACGTCAACAACTAAATAGTGTGAAGAAAAGATGAATTTGAGTGTTGCAAGCTAATTTAATAAAATGGATTTCAGATGGAAAAGTAGTTAGTCTAGGCATTGGATCATTCAGCAAATTATCAATCCACAAATTGAAAATCAATTATAAGATCCCACTGTACCTTTCTAAACCGCATCGAAGTTAGTTGAACACGCCAAAAAATAGTCAGAGCAGATCAAATTGAAAAAAAAAAAATATCATCATCATAATAAGGAGTAAAGGATCAAATAAATAAATGACAAGTACCCGAAGACAATTTTGAAATGTTGTTGGGTACTGTTGCTTGGCTTTCCTTCCGATCCTCGGTTTCTTTCTGAGTATTCAACTTCTCTTCTTCTTTCGAATCGAAGCAAGAAAAACAACCCATCTCCTTCAAAATCAAACAATCGAAATAAATTCCCTAAAATCTTTCTTTACGTAAAGACGCGGTTTACTCAAAACCCAATCAACGATTCGTAATTCAATTCCAATGCTCTTTCAAGCTAAAATCCCGTGTATCAACTCAACATCCGACAATCTCTATTATCTGATCATAAGCAACAAAGTAATGAACCCCAGTTGAAGCATAACAATAACAACCACAAAAGGAGAACTACCGATAGATAGATTGATACATATATATATATATATATAAACAAGAAAAGAAAAAGAAAAAAAAACAGGAGAGAGACAGAGGGAAAATCAATTGACTTGTAGGTGGGAAAGAAAGAAGATCAGAAGAAGATGAAAGTGAAACATGGGTGGATGGAAGAAGGGAGTGTCTACTGCTCTTTACTCATTGACCCTCAAAATAACAAAACGCTGCTCGCTAGATATTCTCTTGTGTCCTGAATTCCAGTATAAAACCAAACCATTCAATATTTACTGCGCTCTGATATTTTTCGTTTTATTCTTTATTTCTTACAGACTGAGAAATTATATTAAAACTAAATTAAATAAATAGATTGAATATAGATAAACCGTGTCCATGTCACGTGCCGGAACTGGCGGCACACACAGTGGGTCCGGGGAGTGAAGTACTTTTCCATACGGTTATTCCTGTCCGCAGAAATATACCGTAGCCGGTCCCAGACGGTTAATTTCAAGTGTTAATATGTGTAAATTTTTTATATATTATATTGTATTTAAAAAATTATTAAGTTAAATAAATAAATTATTGATGAAAAAAATAATTTGATTGACTGAAAAAAATGTCTTTTAAAAAATTAAAATTAAAAAGTTTTTGTATGTTCAAGACTCGTAATAATATTATCATATCACCTCTCTCATAAATAATTCAATCTATTCCGATAAATTTATAAATATATTGACAATAAAATTAATATATTTTGCTCTTTCTAATTGGTACCATGCACTCTATAAAGATAATTTTTGATTTAATATATAACTACTGACAGTGTTACTTTAATAAACGATTTATAATAGTTAGTAATTATTAAATTACTATTTGTAAACAACGATATTATCTTTTAGTGTTTTGAGACTCTAATTAAGTTACTCAAAATTTAAGACTTCATATTGATTCGATAAAGTAATGTAATATTATAGTAGTCATTATAATAGAAATGTGATTATACGAATGTCAAATCATATTGATTAACATATTTAAAGAAAGATTTTGTTCTTCAACTAATATTCTTAAATTTGCTAGTTCTAAATTTTTTTAACAATAAATTAAAATTAACAAAATCTGCTATAACTTGTAGTGTATTTCCATATAAATATAAAGGGGGATTAAAGTTGACCAACAAGGTTCAAGTATCAACATCTAAATCATCTTTGTTTACCATTATTATTATCAATTTTTTTAAAATAAATAAAAAATAGTTTATTACTATGATCTCCTATTTATTATTGAATTAATCATATCCCTATTTCTAAGAAAATATTATATATAGACACACACAACATACTAGTAGTCTCCTAACACGCACTTCGTGTATGTTATTTTCTATTTATTTTAAAAAAAATTATATCAATTAATATAATTATATTAAAATATATTTAATTTAATTTGATAGTGTATTTTTAAATACGATTATGAAATTAAATTTAAACTATTTATTATTTTATATAAATTATTTTATTAAACCAATTATTAATTAAAATTTAATAATTTGCCATATTCGTTATTTATAATATAATTAAATAGTGTCTTTATATTAATTAAATAAATGACTTTTGCCATTATTACAATAAAACAACAAAACATGTGGGTCAAAATAAAAAGGAATAATTATTATTGTTTATCTTAATGCACACTTATATAATGTGCAATATGTATATAAATATGTATATACACGTAAATGTTAAAAATATTTAATTAAAATAACAAAATATTTAAAATTTGATAATTATAATTCATACTAAAATTTGTTAATAAATATTTACAACTTCTCAACCTCATTGTCTCTCTCTCTTGATGTCTCCTTTCAAAACTAGAAATTTCAAAATGTTACACATTTTTTCTCAATTTTTCTCGATTCTTAAAACCTAAATCATCCATTTTCAAAAATCTTTAACACCTTCAAGTCTATTTTTGTTTTGACTTAGACTTTCCTTTAAGTTAAGGTATGTTCTTGTGTCTTCTACTTCATGTCTCCGTTTATCATCTTTTCCTATTTCAATAAATATCAATCATGTAAATGTTTTTTTTTCTCTTTCTCTCTCTTGTCTTCTCTTTGTTTGCTATTTTATGCTTCAATTGTCTTCTTTGCATTGTCTCTATCCTATGCACTCTTTCTTCTTGCTATTGTTTTGGTTTTTGGCTTCTCTCTTCATAATTCAATCAATAGAATATGAATCAGAAAGATAAAAAGAAGCAACACCATTTGATGAGAGGAAATAGTGGCCCTTACCTAATTGGAATAAATAAATAGGTCGATCACACCACTACTAAAGTGCCCTTCAATTTGCTCTCCAATAAGGCCATCTCACTCGTTCGCCGATAGTGAAGAGAGAGAAAGTAGTAAAAAGGGAAAGAGAAAAAAAAAAGAGAAGTGAGATGGAGATGGGTAAATTTGAAATATTTTTATGTGGAGTAGAGTTTAATTTGTTCAAGCCAGTCTAAATTTTAAATTTTTATTACATCAAATGTTATGTAAAATATTATATGATATCTAACTTAAAAAAGTAACCAATCAAATAATATAATATATCTAAACTAGTGATATATGACATTTTTATTAACTGTGTTAGTAGCCATTAACGAAATATGTCTAATTTAAATATTTTTAAAAATATATAGACGAATTTAATGCAAAATTAAGATAATAATTAAATCAAACAAAAAATAATATATTGATCGAAAAGATATTTAAGCCACTATTTATGTAATAATTTATACTTTAAAATTATAGTAATAAAATATACACATTAGATTAAGTAGTGTATAGTTAATGATGACCTAAATACCTTTTTCATCTTATACTAATTTATTCATTCAATTTGGTCCTTGTATCATTATTATTATTATTTTGGTCTTTACTCATTCAAAAATTGTTCATATTATTTTCATTAGTTTCTATTAACACTATTAATATATTTATCATTTGCCACGAGATTTGAAATGCGATATCATTTGATTATACACTTTTTCATATTAGATATCGTGCAACGTTTGATGTGCAAAAATACTCAATCAAATAATATCACATTCTCAAAATGATGTCGCTTAACAAATATATTAATGGTATTAACAGTAAGTAATGGAAAGAAACTAATATAAATAATTTTAAAAACTACAAGGATCAAAAGAACAAAAGAATTTAGATGATGCTTCAGCTCCAAAAAAAGAAAGCCCAATCCAATACCATATTTGATAGTTAAACGTCCTAATGAAAACCCAAAAAAATACTCCCCAGCATTTTTCGGCCCATTAAACTAAACGATGTCGTTTATGGTAACGCCAAAAAACAAAGTCTTAACCTGCATTATAAAGCCATAGATATAAAAAAAAAAAAAATAAAAAATTTGCACCAGAAAACTAAATGTGCTATATATCTTATTAATTTATAATTACAAGTCAATTTCGGCTTCTCCACCATCCCCCAGATTCTAAATCTACAGCAGGCGCTGGACCATTCACGATTCATGTCATTGTAGAAACTTATTAATTAATTATTGTGATGACAAATAAAAATTCCTCTGCTATCGTTGACAATTGCTTATCTTTATAAACATATACATACATATAATATAATGTAGATGTAGACAAGATGCTCTCATGTCCATGTGGGCTTTATTTTATAAATACCAAGAGCTGCGTAAAGATTGCCCATCAAAGACGCAAGTGAGAGAGAAGGGCTTTCTTCTGCTACACCTTTCTGTTTTATATCTTTCTCCTCTCTATCTTCAGATTCTAGGTTTCTGAAACCTAAAATCTCCATTATTGATGGCTATGTATCTTGAATATTCCTTACTCTGATTTCTCTTCCAATCTCTTGTTCATATAACCTCTGAATCTTTCGATTCTGGGTCGATCTCTTCTTCTTAATCAATTGAATGATCTACATATCATTTCTGTTTGGGAAGATATGAGCAACACCATGAGACCACGAGTAAAGGTGATGGTCTATTTGGTGTACGACAGAGGTTGATCATTAACCAAATCAAAATTATATACTACTTCTTTTTCTCTCTCATGAACGTTATATATATGTACACACACACACACATATATATATATTGGTATAGCCTTATATAGTTTCTTAAATCCAGAGGTGTTTCGTGGTGATTTTTAAGCCCAGACATCCATTTTATCTGTTACTGTTAACCTGAATCTTCTAGCGATCTGTTTTTACTTTTCGAACATTAAAATGGACGCTAAGAAACAAGAAAAGAAGAAAGGCGTGAATCATCTGATGAAGAAGACATGGGAGAGATGCAAATCGCTTGGACGTGGAGAGAAGAAGATGACGTCATCATTAAGTCTTATAAGTATGAGGAAGAAGATGAAATCTTGGCCGTCGATGGGTCAGATTTTGCCGGAGGGATGCATGTCGGTGTACGTGGGGGAGGAGAAGGAAAGGTTTGTGATAAAAACGGAGTGGGTGAATCATCGGCTGTTCAAGATATTGCTGGAAGAAGCTGAGTGGGAGTACGGTTACAGGAGTGAAGGTCCTCTGTTACTGCCATGCAAGGTCGAGGTTTTCTACCAGGTTTTAATGGCGATTAAAAATGCATGATTATGGTCCATGCCCACCAACATCTACATACTTATTCCAACTCCAATCAGTTATAGATGACAAGCATATATGTCATCATGCATGTATAGTACCAACCACCAATAAAGCTATATTATATATATGTATGTACGTATGTGAGTGCGTGATAGGGATGGTTTGTATATGTGGACAATCTATATATATAAATGGCATCTTTGTATATGTAATATCAGTGTTTGTTGTCTATCTTTTGATTTTTCAATGTCCGTTTCTAAACACTCAATTTAGTAACATAATACTAATAATTTAATTCTAAATATTTTTATGAATTTTTAATTTTGATTAGTTTGAATTAGGGAAATTAAAAATTAAAGACTATGAAATTTGATTGAAGAATTAACACAAAAATGAAATTGGAAACAGAGGATATACATTAGGTATTTTAAGAATTAAAGAGTTAGGGACCAAAGTGAAAAAAGAAGTACAAATAACCCTTATTATTATTATTATTATTATTCACATCCATATTCTAAAAATTTAAGCATAACTATAGTTTTAGTTTATGAATCTTTCATTACGAGTACATTATTTCATAATTAACTATAGTTTATTTTAAACTTTAAACAAGATATTTATCATTTGATTTTCATCTCAACTTGGTAACTCTTGGTGCTCAGGAAAAAGGAAGGTATATTTTTAACCAACAACTTTTTTTTAATTATTTAATTTCATTATATGAAGATCCTCACTGTGTTGGGAACAAAAGGCTTCCAAAGATTTATCCAAAAAAATATATGATACTGTAAATTATTAGTGTTATTATTTGAATTTATATTAATTATTTTTTATTAAGAAGAAAGATAGTAATGAAATAGTTCCAAATCAAGAAGAAGTTTACTGACTGAGTACAATAGAACTTGAAAAGATGAGGGGTTTTACAAAATTGAAGGCAGCTGAATACGTTGTAACTACTTGTTACTTTGTATATTTTGTTTGTACTAATTCTTAAACTAATATTTTTACATAATTATGAAGCATAAAGTAAAATAAAAGCACATCCTAGAGATGTAGGAACTTTAGAGAACATACGAGCTCTATTTTTCAAAAATTATGTATTCTCAAAAGTTAAAGGTGATGATAGGAGAGGGCATGTGCACTGCAGGGGGCTCATTGCACAAGAGGATCCTTTTCTTTTCTTTTTTTTTTTAGTTTTTTGTTCGAAATATGATTAGCCAGATGACCCTTTAAAAAAAGAATGAAGATACACGTAGGATAACTATATTAGTGTGCACAATGATCGAAAAAGGAATTACAAAGGGAGGATGTAATATCCATCTAAAGAGAAAAAAAAATGTAAATTAAAAAAATAAAATTAAATTAAAGTTAGGATGTAAATGAAAGGGAAGTGTAAGGGGACAAAGGAAATCAGGAAAATGAACGGTCCAGATCGGACTGCTTGAGGAGATTGGATAAAGGAGATTTAAAAGAAAATGAACGGTCTAGATCGAGTCATGAATATTCAAAGGCTGAGGGAACGAGTATAAAAGGGGAAGAGATTAAGGTTTTTCTTCATTTTGAGAGGAAAAGCCGAAAAGATGAAGGAAGAAAGAGAGAGAGAGAGAGGTAATCGGGGAGAAGAGGAAGAAGACGGTCGCGCGAAGAAGCTATCAGAGAAAGGGAGAGGAAAGAAGAGAGAGGCCGGAAGGGAAGAGGGAAGAAGAGAAAATGGAAGAGAAAGGGAGTGGTCGAGTGGGAGGAAGGGAAGCTGAGAATGGTCGCGCAAGGTGAGAGAAGAGAATGGGGAAAGCCAACCCATTCAGGAAGCCGAAGGGTCTTCCCCGAACATGAGAACCTAATCCACCATTTTGGGATTCTGATTTGCCGTTTGGGAAGCTGAAAAGTCTTCCTCGAAAAATAAAAATCCGATTTGCCGTATAAGAAGCTAAAAAGTCTTTATCAAAAAACGGAAATTTAATTCGCCGAACAGGAAGTCGAAAGATTTTTCGGGTAGGAATCCCGATAATTTCAGGTATTCCGTTGGGTAGTCGTTGGAACTCGTAATTTGATTAAATTAATTTATAGTATTTTGAAGTATTTTAATTAAATTATATCGTGTGTATATGAAAATTTAGACATTCAGTCAAATCCGAGAAAATGCATAAGAGAGTAAGTATTTCTAAATCTCAACCAAGTTTGAATTTCGAAAAGTGCATTTATTTTATAAAAATTATGAATTTTGAAATTTGAATGGATATTGACCCAATTTTTAATGAAAAAACAGAACCCAAATTATGATTGGTAAACTTAAGCAATTGGAACCCTATGAGGAGATGAAACTAGAAAATAAACCCAATAGACTGAGAGTTATTTAGACTGATGAAATATGAAATTGAAAAGAAAAATTTTCAATTAAGAAAAAATTGAAAAAAAAAATAAAATAAAAAAGTAAAAATAGAAAGAAAAAAATAATTGAGATTATAAAATGATCATTTAAACAAATTAAAAATTTTAGAATGAGAGGGTAGGAATGAATAAAGTAGAGACCCTGAATACCTTCTCGTTTATTTTGAATCGAGTAAGGGAGTGTGTGTGTATGTGGCTGAAGTTTAACGAGTATGGTGAACGTAACATAGATAGAGTCTGAAACCTAATCCAGACGTGGATAAATATTTGTGTGAGTGTGGGTCACCTAACAAATGTACCTGTTGTGGCCATTGTGTAATTTTTGTGTGTGTGCTATCCACGCGATGAGAGAATTTATTTCTCATTTTCTCGATGATGATATAAACGGCATCGCATGATGAAACCTTATAAATGATCTTTCGAGTGTATCTGTGATCTTTTGTGTGTGTGATTATATTTTGAAATGACGATTGATATTCGAGTGCATTTATGAGTTTCGAGAGTATGGAAATATACATTTGAGGTTTGTATATGATATTTGAAAGAATTAAAAAGATCGATAAGAAACATGTGAAATAATGCAAATAAGAAAATAAATTTTACACTTGAACATTTTTATTTCTCTTGTTTTTACCATATGTTTTGCATGAAATTTTATTTGAGTTGAGAGAATGAGAATATTTATTGAGTTGGTAAAGCTCATTAAATTTCACTATGATATTTTTCAGATGAGAATGAAAAGACAGAACCGCTGCTAGACGAGTAGAACCTATAAAAAAGATTCATATCTTCGTATATTTTGTGCATATTCAAAAAGTTTTATTTTATTCTATTAGACTCTAAATTCCAACATCATATTTTGTATATATAGTTACTGTAATTTTATACACATGCATGTATGAATTAAGCGAAGTTAAAAGAAAAAAATGGCGTAATGTAGTAACACCAATACAAAATATTATATATATGTATGTACATATAATATGAAGAGTTCACACTTCTAATTAATACTTTGAATTACTCATCATTAGTTTAACTACTTGATTTTAATAAAGGAGTACTATGTTATCTTTCAAAACAAATTTCATTAAACTTTTAAAGTGGTGGCATGTAAATCAGGAGATAATTACTTTTGTACACATATATACAACATGATATTATTGCATGTATTAAATTAATTTCTTTTCTAATGTGGGTTGACCAAATTATATACATAATAAAATTATAATAATTTAT